GAAAAACACGTATTAAAGAAATAAATTGTCTTTATTTCTCACAGCGCTACCTAAGTTTCGTTCAATACTTACTCCGCTCGTTTAGTCAATCGGGCGGGCGAGAAGACCGCCTCAGCTTCCCCGATTGACTTAGCGAGCGGAGTAGGCGGCTGAAATCCAGGCTAAACTTAAGTTTGGCTGGAGAGAATGCCCAGAGCAGTATACTTAGAGTATATAAAAATGAACGGTGATTTGATCGCACATTTTATCCAAAAAAGCGGCTGAAAGGGGTCCTGGTGCGAGTAGGCGACGGCCTCAATCGAGTAGGTCGAGGCCACGGTATCGGTACCGGTCTTGGACTGCAGTTCCAGAAAAATTAAAGTAAAGCCAATTGTTGATCACCACGTATCCCGATTGGCACACAATTCGCCATGAAAGGAACCCTTGACGCAGGCCTGGTACTAAAAAGAAAGAAAAATTAGACAAAAATAATTTTTTAATAATCATAGTTCTACAGAGGATATGAGAATTATTCTACCTTTTAAAGCCTTAATTCTTGGAGTAAAAACGTAAGTTCCTTGTGTTTGGTTTGGTTATCGGTTTAATCAGTCGGTTTTCGGCTTAATCAAGCAATCAATCTAATATATAGATTTAGCCAGGGCTAAAAGCGAGGCTCCCATTAATAAATTTATAATTTAAATCCAACAATAAACTTGTATTCCACAATTCAGTTAACTTTAGAGCACATTCATGTGACTTTTGACGGAAAGGCTGAGTGATTTTAGAGAAAAATAATTTGCAAACAGCCCAAGATAACCTCATATGTACACCCCAAAACAGCAATCATCTTCGATCACATTTAAGAGGCATAATGGCTCTTGATCACTGTCGATTAATTAGGCCTGGAAAAAAAATCAGGCCGAATTTTTTGCGTTCCGCAAGTTTACTTTACAAAATCTTGCCAGCAAATCTGGGTGCGCGTAAACCAACCTTTTATACAATTTAAACATCAAATCTGAGGTCAATAGTACTACGAGGCACTGTTTCTATCATACAGACCTCGGACAGAATGCAGTTTTTCACAATTTTGCAATGCAAAGTGCACTCATTCAATATTCAGGACGATCGATCGAAGCACGCGTGGGCTTTTAGCTAAACAGTTAAAAAAATTTCCAAAATCACCTAGTATATATGGCCAGCCGGTTCTCACTTTTGCAGAGCAAGCTGTGTTTGTGTTTGAATGAACATTAACAGAGTTACGCTTCAACATAATAAAGAATTTTTATTTAATTGTCTTATCGATGTGTAATCTTTAAAAGCGTTTGATACGCGCGACATTTTGAGTACCTCTTGCAAGCGATGTTCACTGAACGACTGAAAACAAACGGCTCAGCGATTAAAATTACAAGAGAGACCACTAACAATCACTAAATGAAAGATAATTCGGCGAAACATATACAGAGACAACAATTTTCATTCACGCAGACAATTTAGTATTAAAGTTTCCCTAATCCTGAGTCTTCAAGCTTGAAGCTTAGGAGGCCCGGCGCCACTGGTAAGTGGCTATCCTGTTATGACAGCTGTCAATTGACCATTTTGTGAATGTCCAATATACGAGACGTGGACCTGCCAAGACACGCCTGAGACACCACTCCCTCCCTTTTGATAGTCTCCCCTACCCCACCCTTACAATCTGCAGACGCGTACGTACGTACGCTCAGTCAACTACGTGACAACCAAACGAAAAGATGTTGACCATATTCTGTGAGTATGGGGCCCCACTATAAATTGAGTCTCAAACAAAGAAAATGTAGCTTGCGGCTATAATATTTTGACTTTTGTGGTTCTTAGTTTGGCGCGCGGAAACTCGTTTAGGATTTCGTTATTTATTCGAAAGTAGACGATTCAGCTAGCAGAGTTTTAATGCCAGAAAATGTTTATTAGTCCTCAAAATAGCATGAGCATAATTTCACCGAACTAATTTACAAAATATACCTACTTTCCAGCTAACCTGCAAGGAAAGAAGGACCAACTGATCGCAGGTTACTTCAAATCCAGCTAAAGCAATTTTAATGGAGTAGAAACGGATTGTGTGGCAAAATAGGCTTCCCATAAATTCTTTGCAATTCTTTAAGACCATTTTAAAATTCGCTTCGATTGCTTAAAGAGCTCTACAAGCCTACACTCCTGTTTATATCATGTCTACATAATTCATTTAATGGTATTTGGAAACATTTTGGAACCACAGAGACGACGTTCTAGCTGGTTGAAAATTTGTGTTGTCTAATGTCTTCTGTGATATAGGTGGAAATGTCTTACCTGCTAGGTGGAGAAGTGACTCTTGTGTTTCGGCCACAAAGCTAGTCACGAGTTGTTTTGGCTGTCATCTTATTGGTTTAGAAAATGGCGCGAGAACCCCAGTCAAGCCGGCTGTGTGACGTGTGGTCCATATTATGTAATGTACATTGCAAATGTCTTTAAGCCTCCCATCGTTTGAATATCTTAAATTCTGGTATGCTTAAACTCATGCCCGCGGGGTGGTACTCGACCAATTTTAGGGCATAGGTGAGCCACTGACAGTTTGAAACCCTGACTCTGTTTAGGACAAAAAATTCCTAACATACACACCCTGTTTAGGACAACATCCTAGATTTTTAATTACGCTGTTTGGGACAAGGACAAAATGCACGCCAGAGCAAATTCACGTCACAGTCATTGCTTTTCTATACTTGGAGTTCAAACAAAATTCATCCAGCAAATCAAATCAATCGTGCAGGCAATACCCTGTTGACAGTATCAAACGAATTTATATACCCTGTTTAGGACAGACACACAGTAAATTATACCCCGTTTAGGGCAGAGAGGTCAAAGACCATGCCCTGTCCAGCGGCACATCCCCGTATGGGCCATATAAGAGAGTTACCCCTTGGGCTTGAGCTGTGATGTCACGGCGGCCATATTGGTGTTCCAAAACAATGAAACAGCGGCCATGTTGGTGTTCCAAACTGGTCCTCTGGGAGTTGAACTCTTTTCAAATGCAAACACTTTCTTTTGTTCCAATAAATTTGCATAGATGCTGGCCACGTGAGTGGAAACGCTCTATTCGCCTAATCAAATTCAATAGCGCGAGCGTACTACAGTGATTCCCATTGA